TAGCTATTTTAAAGAGATTATATAGATTCTTATTATATATATAATATATGCTTTTTATCTTGAAATTCTAAATCCAGCTAATTGTAAGTTTTATACTCTTATTAGTATAGAAAATATAATAAAAGATTCTATTTCTCTTTAGCTTATCTTTAAGTTATTTTCTATAAAAGATTTTACTGCTATTAAAGCTAATAATAATATGCAGTTTATATAAATAGATATAATATTTAGTAATATTAAAGTTATATTTAACTAGCTTTATAAGTTTAATTAAGTTTTCTAGATAAAGTTAGTATAAGTCTTAAAACTTAGAGTTATATTTAATAATTAATTTAGCTATAATAAGTAGAAGTATATTAATAGTATTATTAAAGTTATAGTTAATAAGCTACTAAATTACTATCTTAAAAAGAAAAAGATTTAATATCTTTTAATTATTAATAGCTTTATAAAATACTTATTCTTTTAATTTATTGAATATTATATCTAATTTAATATTTTAATTATAATACTACTATTATATTTAACTTATATTATATAGCTAATAGATATTAGTATTTTTTAGCTATTAAAGAATATATATTAAGTAGCTATTTATAAGTCTCTTTAAAAAGGCAATCTTATCTTTAATTATATTAATTTTATCTCTATTTTTTAAAAGGTCTTTAATACTAGCTTTAATATATATAATATTATATTAAAATTAAGAAAATTAGTCTCTTCCTGCTAAATAGTATACTAGTAATTATAAAGTTAGTATTAATATAAAAAAAGCAGCATAAGGCTATTAACTCTATCTATAAGTTACTTCTCCTACTAGAAATGCAATTTTAAGAAGCCTTAGATACTATATAGCATTTTAATACTAAATACAATTAGTTGCTAAGCTTATTATTATATATTACTCTTTAATAGGTCTACTTAGTTATTTATAAAGCTGCTATTCTTAATACTAAAGTTTCTGCCTTCTATTATAACTATATAGAATATATTAACTACTTATTATAAGTTTATTACTATAGTAAGTTAATTAAGCCTTAAGGCTGCTTTATTATAAGTTTAAGCTTAGTTAAGATCTAATAGCAATAAAAAGAGACTCTTTAAGTTAAGGCTGAAAAGAGTTATTGCTATAAGCTATAAGATTACTAAGTAACTTTAAAGAAAGAAATAAATAAGCTAAGAAAAAAATAGCAATCTTTTAATAAAAAAATTAAAATTAATAATATTATAAAGAAGGTTCCTATATTTAAAAAGTAGCTAGAGCTAACTAGCTAGAAAAATTACTTTCTAAATATAGAAAACTCCAGCTAAAAGTATCTTAACCTTCTTAAATAATATAATAATAGCTTTATTATTAATATTAAGCCTAATTCTTATATTTAAGTAGCTATTTACAAGCTTTACTATATAGCTAAATCTCTTTTTAAGGTTGTAGAGCTAACTATATTATGCTATAACTTAAAATATAATACTTTCTTTAATTCTACTAACTTTAGCTACTTTAATAATAAAGATAATATTAATAAGAACTTCCTTAAGTCTAAAAATAATATATATAATAGAAGTAAGTTAGGTAATAATAGTAATATCGAAATTATTATAGCATTATAATATTTATAGCTATAAGAATAATTCTTACTATTACTTAGTTAGATAGAAAAAGTAAATAAGAAGCTAGAAATACCATATTTAAAATACTATATATAATATCGCCAGCCTACATATAAATATATAATAAAAGATCTAGAGATATTTTACTATAATCTTAGGAATTATAATAGCTCTTATAGATATAATACTATATAAATTACAGTAGTAGAGCAGCCTTAAAAACCTAGCTAAGTTAGTTATATATTTATATATAGGCTGCAATTTTAATATAAGAGTATATTTTTTACAGTATTTAATAATATAGTTATTTTTATAAAATCTTTAGCTTCTAGAATATCTATTTTTTTATAATAAAATTACTTAAATAACTATTAAAATTAATTATAGTATTAGAAGCTATTTTTAGCTGTAATTTTAAAAGAGTTATACTATTCTAACTTTTTCTAATTATTCTAGATTTTTTAGCTCTACTAAATAGCAAAGCTACTTAATAAAACTCTATAAATACTAGTTTTTTAATATCTAAATATCTTACTTACTATTTATATCTATAAAAAAGTTCTAATTTTATATAATCTTTAATACTCTAATTATAATAATTAAGTATATTAATAAAATTTCTATTACTTATCTTAATAAAAAATAAGCCTACTTATTATTTATTACTTTAGCAGTAAAAAGAAATAAAAATAATACCTAACTTATTAACTTATTCCAGGGGATTTATATAAAGAGTTATTATATAAGCATCTTAGCCAATTAGCCTAAAGCTATATTAGATTATATATATAAGGTCGGATTAATCTAAGGCTTATATCTTCTAGTAGGAAAGTATCTTATAAGATTAAATATTAAGTTAGTTATAGAAAAGTTCGCTAGCAAGATATTAATAGGGCCTGTAGCAGCTTGATATCTAGAGGAGGTTAAAGATAGAGGTTAGATAAGAATTGTAGTAATAGCAAAAATAAACTTAAATAAATCTCTTAAAATTAAAGGCAAAGAAAAAGCAGATTCTTAAGCTATCCAGAGGCCTGCTAGCCTCTCTAATATCTAGCTTAAATTTCTAAAGAATTAAAAACCGATTCTTCTCCTCTTTAATATAAATTTCTTCCCTTCTTTTTAACTTAACCTGGGCTATTCTAAAGATATCTCTACTAGCAACTAGCTAGCTTAAGCATTTCTAACTGCCTATTATATTACTAATACTAATATAATATTACTTATAATTTCTAGTATTAAATATTATATCTTTATATAGATTTTATTTAAGAATAATTAATAGAGATAATAGCTAGATATCTATTAGAGCCTTTAGAAGAAAGATAGAGGGATTAATAAAATATATTAAAAATATAGAAAGCTCTAGTAGTTAAGTATATTAAAGCTAAATAATCTACTAAAGAATATAATAATAAAACTTATATAAAGCTTAAGTTATCTTTATTTAATAGCTTCTTTATTATATAGATATTAAGAATTAATAAAGCTACTAAAGTTAATATTATAGTATAATTTAATTTTCTATTATAATAGTTATATCTTTTAATCTATTATAGATATAATCTAGAGTAGGTAGAAAACTAGTTACTAGTAGATAAATTATAAGTTTATATTAGCAAAGTAATTAGAGTATTACTTATAGAGTAAATATTATATCTAGTAATAATTAAGTATAGTAATATATAGTAAGTTAGAGTAATTAAGGTAACTAAGTTATATTAATAGCTAAGAAGCTACTTATACTAAATATACACTTCTTAGATAGCTATATATTAATGTAATTAGATATAATTACCTATATAATAATTATAATTACTAGTAATTAGAGGTAATTATAAAGTAATTACTATAATTATAATTACTAGTAATTAGAAGTAATTATAAATAGCTAAATTATATTTTATTTTAAGAGGCTAAGAAAAGTAGGGCTATGCCTGGAGCTTAATATAGGTTGTAGCTAGGCTGTAATATCTATCTACTAACTTTAATTATTTTAAAAATATTAAGGGTATTTCTATAAGATTTTATATTAAAATTAACTTAGTTTTATTTAATCTCTTTTTATTTATTACTAATATTAATTTTAAGATATACTTTTATAAGATTAAGCTCTTTTAAGATTATAAAGCTAAATAGAAACTTATTAATAATATTATTTATATTAAAAAATCTATTAATAAGCTTAAATAACAAATTATATAAGCTAAAAGTAAAATAAAAAACTTTAGTAAGTAAAAGCCTTTAAGTATCTTCTTAAAAATAATAAATATATAGTAACTTAAAAAAGTTATAAAGTATAAGTAGATATAGTTAATATTCTTAGCTAGCTCTACTAATAGTAGTAAATAGTATATATCTTTTAAAAAAGATTTTTACTTTAAGTTTTAAACTTTTTAAAATATATTTATAAATACCTAATCTATTAATATTTTATTTTTTTATAGTAAAAAGCTCGTATAATAAGCAGTTAGAGATACTTAAGCTAGCTAGTTACTAGTAGAGATATCTCTAGAATAATCTAGATAGAGTTAAAAGATAAGATTAATACTATTACTAGAAAAAATCATTATCTTTTCTTTCATTAGAGATTCTTTCTAGAAGTTAGAGAGGCTAGAAGAGCTTGAGGCTGCTAGAGAGTCTATTAATTAATTGCCTTTATTTTTAAGAGATTTATTTAAGCCTTCTTGCCGTTACTATATTCCCTGTCCAACCTCCGTCTTTAACCTCCCTCAGATATCGGTCTGCCGCAGGACCCATTGATGCCTTGCCAGCGAACTTTCCTGCGACCGACTCGATATTCTATCTCATGAGATGCTTCCCTATCAGGAGATATAAGCCTCAGATTGATCCGACCCCATATGCGTAATCTGGTGTAGCTTCGGGCTGACCGGCTAAGATGCCTGTGCGACGACTCTCTGTGCATTTCCCCTAGGGCAAGTTAATGAGTTGGGTGTTGTTTTCCGTCCCTTCCTGCTGCTAAATTAGATAATCTCAATTTATATTCTATCTTACTTTTTAAAGATATCTTACTACTTTTTAATATTAAAAAATAAGTTAGTTTAAACTAGTAGGCTAGAAGTAGTTATAGCTTAATAATAAACTCTATAATTTCTATATTACCTATTTTACTATCTTTAGTATTATAAATTTCTATTCTTAATTTTAATAATTAATATTAAAACTTTAACTTTATTATTACTAGTAATATATTATATAATAACTTAAATTAGCTAATAAAAGTTAGCAAAGTAGATAATAATAAAAATATTAGCAGGTAGATTAAGACTTTTAATATAGACTCTTTATACTAACTCCTCTAAGAGCAAAATCCTATACCTATAGCCTGCTTTTATATTATCCGCTATAGCTAGCAAAAACTCAACTAGAAAGAGTATCATAGGGCAATCTACTTAATACAGCAAATACTAAAGGAGTTAACCCATCAGATTGCAGCTAAGTGGGATATTAATATATCTCAGATCGCCCGGACAATCCATACAACTCGAAACAGATTAGAGGTGGAAATAGACAACGATATTATTCAAGAACTAAAGGAAGGCCAAGCCATAGCCCTGGAAATTAAGGAAACCAAGCAGTCTTCAGGGGTAAAACAAGAGTAGGAGATGGCCGTCGACTCAATTAATAGCTCTCCCGACACGGAATCCTCTAACAAGGTAGCCGGCGGACTTGTCCTGCATCTCACTTTCTAATCACTGTTTCTTTTTATTTCCTCTGGTGATATGATGGGATTGCGGCAGACGAGCACCGAGGTCTAGACTGGGACATGTTTCACGATTGAGGTTTCATAGACTTAGATAGATGATTATTGGAAGAGATCAGAGATGAAAACTTAGTTGACTCATGCAATAGAGAATCTTCATTAATTTAATTACCCAAAGCGTATCAAGAGACTATAACCGGCTACCTATCGGGTTTTGCTGAAAGGCAGCAGCCAATACACGGGTCTCGTTCAACCTCGGCTACAATACTTCTTGGCCGCTGCAGGAGGACCGGCAGCCCATGAAAGGTTGGTTGATGATCCATTCTGACTCTAGGAGTGAGTTGCAGTTATGGTGGCAATTGGCTGGTTGGTACTGCAAAGTTCAACATGACGTCTAAAGTCGTATCTCTTACTCGAAAAGTGCTGATACTGATTTACATCATAATGATCTTACCCAGTCATCTTGACATTTAAATTCTCAATCACCGCTCTTTCTCTTTCAAGAACTAGAGGTGCAGAATTAGGCTGCGAGCCGACTAACTGACCGGCTTGCAATACCTCATGCGAGAGCGTATACGATCAAATTTATGTCTCTGCGATCATATCGCGTATTGCGCCCAATGGCCGTGGAAAAGATTCAGGGTAACTTACCGCAGTCGCGTCAAGACAACTCCATTGAATTTCCAACAGAGGAAACAATCCAGGACCGCCTGAGATCACAGAATCCTGCGCTAGCTTCCGAAAAAAATCAGCTGCAGCAAGAGTGTGCAAACCTTAAAACACTCCTATCGGCACACACAATGGGAAAGGAGTGTCGTTTGTACCACCAGAAGCATTGTTCCCGCGCACCAGAATCGGAGACGACCATGAAAGACCAGAGTGAGTGACCGGAAGGAATGAGGGCATTTGTCTAGATAAGGTGTGAGGAAGATGGCGAGGGGTGATCATGGAAATTGCTGAGGTGAAGTGATTGGGGGATAGCAATCAATGTACTATCCATCCACTGTAGTTCTTAATAGGCAGGCAGTGGCCTTAGTTTTAGGCCCAGATACGAGAATTGATTGACAACCGGCCGCCCATGATTATGAGCGGCTTAGTAAAATGACCAAAATCGGGCCGGCCGTTCTCATCACCAAGGCTATGTCGTAAGGCTGTTGTTGTTGTTGTTGTTGTTGTTGGTTAATTACCGTCATGAAGACATCTACTTGAGATATCTACAGAATCCCCAAAGGGGCAAGATGACGTGCTAGGCTGGAGTCTACAGCTGAAGAAACCTAGGTACAGGGTAGCTAGCTTCGGCCGGAGCCGTCAGCTTGCTAAGACTAACCCGGGGCCGGGGCCACGGGCCCGCCGGGCCCGTGGCTCGGACCCGCAGTCCGTCTCACGTGAAAGACTAATCCCCCCACGCGAGCCAAGATTGCGATCCTTCTTCCTCTTCCATCTAGCAATTAAGCAGCCCTATTTGACCTATTATTTCGAGCCCGGCATCCGTCAGCGGATAACCAGGGCGCAGCCCGACGACTGCGCTATGTCGTAAGGGGTGCTGAGCCGTAATCTGCGACGTAGCCGTGCGTGTCATCGATAGAACCAACTTTGTACTCCTCGGTGTACACAAAATTTATTATACGTCGAACTCCTCCGCGTAGTTTTGGTCAGGGTCGCCCCCCCCCCCTTTTTAGCTGTTCCTGGAACAACATGCATGCCCCACACCATTTCCCAGGAACTCAGCCTCTGAAGTCTCGTTTCGGACTTAACATATAGCTCCAAAGAGAAGAACGACAGCCGGTCTTTGATCAAACCAGTTCCAAACCAGGACAGGAAATCTCGCCGGGGACAAGCTGCAGGTGGACATCGTCTACCTTGGAATAAGGTTCGCCGCATAGTGGTCGTTTTGTTCCATCGACTGGATGTAGCGCTGGGCCTCATTTCTGATATAATCCTGTATTAAGGTGCTGTTGCAGATACTGTGCTGCAAAGCTGCATCTTGAGTTAGTGAATCTCAGTAACAAGTTCTCCAACGCAGTTAGATAGCATAATATTGCGTTTCTCTATATCCTGTTATTCGGTTTGGAGTCTCATAATATTTGCTTTCTTTTAAATTCGGAAGTTATTAGAGGCGATGCGATTCCTCTCCTATTTCCGCCTGTGGACGATATATTCTTTAGGATAGCCATGATTATCACTATTTTCGCTGTTAATTGAGTTCATTTTGCTGCCCATCCTTTTTTTGTATTGTCTTTGCAGCCTCGTGTAGAGCAGCGTCTGGCAGATTTAGGAGAGCTGAAGGCGCGCTGGATTGCGCCTTGCGTTTCGGGCCAGGCTTCTTGTTATCTCTACATAAGAACAATCCGGCGACATAACAGCTGTAGCATCAGGGTATCGCCACTAGCTCGACTGTGCAAATATCCCTCTGCTTCGTATTGAAGTACGACTGAATACCACGCCACAAGAGGATACTTTACTCTTCCGACGTTTTGTAGAAGAGCCAGTACACTAAGTGCTACATGAGACATCACATATCGCATCTAGCGGCAGGGCAATCGAATGGGTTATTCTCTTCATGTTTCATCACGTCGCTTCATGGCCTGTACGTCCAGCACCTCGACCTCACCAAGCAGGACATACTTGAGCCCCCTGTGAATGGCGCTATTGAGAAGTTTGGAAAGATTGATGTTCTGATCAATACAGTGGGTGGCAACAAGTTTGAATCCAGCCGTCGGATACTCATGGAGTTGTGGTCATGCCGCTTTTATAGTCAGCCCCCCCGGATTAGCTGAACTTTCTCGGTTCTTTCTTAGCGAAAGGGGCGCCTTTGTTTTAAAACGTCGAGGATTCAACGGCCTAATCTAGCTAGGCTATCCGAAGTATACCTAACAGTGGATCCGAACTTATTGCTACCCACTATAATGCTGGATATTGTCAGATAGGTGTCCTCAAACATCCAACGTTGACGACATTCGCAAGAACTTTGAGGTCAACGTCTTCGATACGTAAAGCTCCCTGGTCCGGTGCACTACAAGATATGTCCAGGGAACTAACCCAGATAAAATAGGGACGATGGATTTGATCAAGACAATTCTTGCCACACCCACGAGCAACGACGGAGGCAAACTCCACCTCGATCATCTACATCGGAACGGGAGCCGCCCATTTTGGGCTACCCCTAATGGGTGCCTACAGTGCTACAAAGGCAGCCATGAACCTCTTCATGGAGTCTCTCATGTATGAGAAGGAAGGCGTTGATCACCCCATTGAAGTCAAGGTTGTGTGTCCTCAAGGAGGATCAACGAGACCAACTTCAACCAGAAAACGACGCAGTTCGCTGGCGTGCTTCATCGAGAAGACGATGCAGAACTTTGGTGCCATGCAAGGGCCAGAGCATGTCGGCAGCAGAAGCCGCAGAAACGGTGTGGACGGCGGTGACGGACAATGACCCGAACAAGCTGAGGTACTTGTCGGACCGCGTGGGGGAGGAGTAAACTTACGACGTATGCGAAGTGGCGAGCCCGGAGGAGATGCGAATGTGATCGACAAGAGATACATCGAGGAGATGAGGGCGGCGTTTTTGTGAGACGTCTAGTTCTCTTACACCCAGGCCGATCAAGGCCGAGAAAACGCTAAGAGTGTGTGGAATGGACAGAATTTGGGGTATACTTCGGAACGTCGGCAGATTCCGAATTCATCTTCATGGTGAGACGTGATCAGGTGATGACGCGACCTAGCAACTGAACAGATGACGTGAAACGAAACGGAACACTCGCCGGGCCATGTGTAATACGGACGCAAATCGAAGGAAAATATGCCTGATGATACCACAGTGACGTTTAGTGTGTAACGGTGTGCGAGCCGGTGGCAAGGAACGGGGAAGCATTACCGCCAATGGTTGAGGGAGAGCACAAGACTTATGGGAAGCCAGTCAGGAACCTTGGTCTAGATTGGTCACTAGCTTGGTCAAAGATCTGACGGGGCAAGTATTCAGAGCATGTATGAGCCGGGTGATTGGGAGGGGTGCGGCAATCGATGAGGCGAACTGACGCGACTCTGAAAGGGCTGTAAGACGCCAGTCTCATGAATGAGTGCTTCGAGCATCATCAGACCCAGAAACCATCTTGCAGCAATTGCCATGTTAGTTAGGAACCAGGGAAATTAAACTCTGGGCGTTCTCATCTGCGGGGAAGCAAAAAGAGGAGCTTTTGAAGGTTTGCCTTGGCTTTGACTTCTCATTGGCTGCGAACGAGGTCCAAAGCTTGGCGTGTGCCACACACACCAACGCTCCCCGCTCGCTCGCTCCATTCACATACCGGGAAACGGCATCTTGTTGCCTGAACAAGACTGCCGTATTACGTACTTTAGGCTGCCACTGACCATTTGTTCTTGACATGTCGAACCCGATCAAATGAGGCCCTTAGGTATCGCAGCGCCGAAAGCTGCCCTTACCTCACCTTTTGGTCTATCTAATTGTCGTCATAGATGTTTTGCTCCTCAGTCTCACTTGTCTAGTACTTCTCCGCCTTTACAACTTACTGTCTTCTGCCCAATGCCAACGCGGCAGATGACAACAGACCGTTGAACTCTACTGCTACTCAACTTACTTATAATAGCTAATTTCCGTTTATCGCCCGTCTGTCACTATTCTGAATACATGAACATAAGCGCCAATTCCACAATATTCATTCATCTCCGTTAAACGTGAACATTGTGAATCTCCGAACATACAACGCAAACAATCGAGGCTCGGGTGTAACCGTGATCGAAACTAAACACGGATTCACAGCAACCATCCAGCCCGGTCAACATCATCGGAGTACTACCAACCCTACATAAACAAACCAAATAAATACCACTTCTCCTTCTTCTTCACTCTCTAACCCTTCTGGCACCTCAGTCAGGCCAACTTCATATCCTGAAACATCAACACCCAAGCCACATCTCTGCTTACACCGAGAGGGACTATTACACAAAAGCAGTCAGAAAGCACAAAGGACAAAAATCATCCAACTATGTGCCACATCGTTGTCGCCCAGCGCGTGTGCCAGGTCTGCAACTGCAGCCAAGGCGAGACAGTTATTAACTTCACGCGCTGCGCACGCAAGTGTTCGAGCCCCTTCTACTGTCTGACTCCCAAGGCGCAGATAGAAATCTGCTCCCTCTGTGCGCCGAGAACCACGACGACGCTCTCCACACCGGTCATGTCACGAAACAGCAGCATCGATGCCAACGACAACGAAGCCGTCTCCACTGCGGCTGCTGCAGCTGCACCGGCGACGGCGGCGATTCCCGCCGTCAGCGTCGCCCCCGTAACCAGTCGCCGACTCTCTTGAGCATCGTTCACGTAGGGAAGCAGGGTAGCGGTGACGGACCGAACCCCGGGAAGTAGGCCGCCTAGCTTCACCGAAGATGCAACCCGGGCGCGGCCGATGTCCGACGTTTTTCTTCAGCTGAAGGGCTAGATTCTGCAGGGGGGAAGGTAAAATATGGGAGAAGACACGTGGAATTAAGATAATCAGGGAAGCGAGGGGCTCAACAAACGCCGCCTCGACTGAATAGCCAAAATGGACCAAACTAACAATGATACCAACTGTAATTTTTTTACTCGAGGGCAAAAATTGCCAGTGTACGGGAAACAGAAATTGGAAATACATACGAGGGTTATGAAAATGTGCCGGATCTTTCACATCGAGATGCGGTATCGCCCCAACGGAAAGCCCTTCGGGGCCGATTTGAAGGTGGCGCCGCCACCCGGTAGCCACGGGCCCGTAATACCGGATTACCGGAACGAATCAATCGCCTGTTAGATGACTTGCATGATGCGAGGGGGCCAATGGGTTACTGATAATCAATCAATGACAATTGATGATTGCCTTTGCTTGTACCTGTTTTGGGAAATAAGTTTACTACCCTACTTTTCGCGGCACCTACTTTTCGCGGGCCCTTCCCCACTTAAAACACTATATCTTTAAATAGTTAACTTACTTAGCCCTAAAGCAAAGCGGAACTTCCCTGTTGAATGGAGTCCGCCGTCGATAACTCCTCGACATAAGCAAAAAATCTGACTGCAGTCTTGTATTCTTGAAGTCCAGTAATCCCCAACATAGTACTTGAGAATTCGAGAAAAGAGTGGTTCATTTCGAACCTCATTTGTAAACAACTGAAGAGAACGTATCGGCCCTTCCCCAGATCCCCTCCCGAAGACATGAGAGTTGTACAATCTGGGAATGATCGACAAATAAGTTCACATCCGTCCCAAATTCGCGGATGTACCAGTTAAATACTGCAGGGTCCGCCGCTTCGAACATGACCTTCTCCCGAGGAAGGTCCCGTAGAATTTGCTGGATAACGTCGGTTCTCCATTTTGTTACATTCTCTGTGATGCCTTCACTCTCGATCATGATGCGCTCGACCCCAGCATCAATGAATCGGTTTCCCATGTGGACTATCTTGGACGGGTCGGACGTGCCTATGGATTCGAGTTCTGAAGCTGCTGTATCGCCTCCTGCGCCAAATTGGATCCCACACTCGGGTTTTGCTATGAGCCCTTCAGAGTGGAGTTTGTCGACGAGGCGAAGCCAGTCATCTTCAGGAATGGAAAGGAAACCAGAGGAAATTTCGATGACATCGAAGCCAAGCTCTTTGCACTTCTTTAGATAGCGGTCTACTGCTGACTGAGGATCAGATTGAAGCATGTTACATGTATCGGGATATCGGATATCTACAGCATCACACCACTGTAACACCATCGCCACCTGCCTCATCATTGGCCTCGTCACCGATCTTATGATAGTCCTAGCTTTTTCTTGATTTTATCAATAACTAGCTAAAGCCAAAGACTCCAGATTATCCGGAGCCTCTTGGCTGTCCGAGGTCATCTTCATCTATAAGACTGACCTAGTAGACCTCTATTAGATAGAAAGAATAGCAAGAGCTTCTCACATACATAATCCTATCCATCTACTAGATGCAACAGTTATAAGCCCGGTTGGCTTCTCTAACTTGATAAAGTAATCATTATCATTTCTATCTATTCCAATCTTCCTTCTTCAAAATAAGAGTTATTTTTGGGCTCTTTAAATAGCCCTTATTTTTGCTGTTATAACAACATTCTATTTATCCCTTCTTCTTAGGCTGCTGCTATAGCAGCCCTTTACAAGCCTCTTAGACTCTCTTTTTTAAGCTGTCTAACTAGCTATCTAACTAGCTATTATTCTAGCTACTTGGCAGGCTATTAAGCTAGCTAGCTATTTCTTCTTTTCTTTTCTTTTAGATAGATTTTCTATTATTTCTTAAGATCTTTATTAGGTTAGATTAATAGCCTTTACTATAGCTATCTCTAAACTTAATAAATTCAATAAATTTAGAAAGCTCTTTTTAGACTACCCTCTAGGGCTATAGTAACTGGAAATAGTAAATTAGCATTATTTAGAAGCATGCTATAGCTTTGGAAGTCTAAGTTTATTTAAACTCTTCTAAGCCTAATAAGCTTATTCTAGCTATTTCTTTAAAGCCAACCTTTAAGATAGTTAAGCTAGATATAGTAGAACTAGAAGATCTAGATGCCAATTAATTTAGAAGACTAGAATTTCTTTATAATTAATATAAGATTAAGCTTTAAATTTATAAAAATAAGTAAAAGGCTCTAACTTTTATTTAATATTATATAACTAAGATTATTAATAGCTATTATAATATTATTAAATTTAAGCAGCTAATTCTAAATAAACTTCAGCTAATTTTAGTATATTTAAGATTATTTTATATTATTAGCCTGGATTTTATTATTAATTTACTAAAGGTATTCTTTAAAAAGTTATCTTAGATTATTCTAAAGTATAAAAGCTTTAATATACTATACTTAGTTAGCTATTTCTTCTTAAAAAAATCAATATTAATATTAGAGTATATAATTTATATACTTAAAGAATAAGTAATAATAATTCTAAGATTGCTATTCTTATATAATTAAGGTATTTTTTATTATATTATAAGTAATAAAAATCTAAAGTTTACATTTAGTATTTAAAAAGCTATATTATATTTAATAAAAGCTAAATACTTAATTTTAATAGCTTATTACTTATAAATAAATAGAAAATTTAAAAGAAAGAATTAAATAGTAGAAATAGCAGTTTAATATTATATAATTATTAAATTAGATATATTTTAGTTATAAATACTTCTAGTACTTTAATTTAACTTTAATAATAGCTATTTATTAGCTATTAGCTAATTTCTAAATAAGATATTATGTAGTTTTAAGCTATAATTAATAGTTAAAATAATCCTACTTATTTAAGTAGCTAATATAGTAATTAATAAAGCTATTTTAAGCTTATTATAGAAGATTTACTTATATAAGATTTAGCTTCTTATTAATATAATAATAGCTCTAGCTAAAATAAGATATAATAGCTAGTATATATAAATTAAAATTTATAAAAGAGATATAATATATCTTTAGCTTTAAAAGACCTTTAAGAAATCTGGCACTAGCCCCAGATTCTCTAGATTCTCTAGATCTTTCAAATCTAGACCTGCTAAATCTAGCCCCTCTAGGCCTCTTTATTTATATAGAAAATAGCATTTCTATACTAATTATTACTATCTAATTAGCTGGATTAGACCTATTAGATAAAAGACTAGAGAAGATATTAAGATTAAAATTAACAAGCAGCTTAAAGAGTCCAAGATTAAGAAACAGATTAATAGGGCTATTAAGAAACTCTAGAGGAAGAAAGCTAGGCCTGATAACAAGCCAGACATATCTAAAGATAAGGAAATTAGAGGATCTACTTTTGCTAGCACTGGCTTTTTTCTATTTCAAGGTCAATAGCAATAGCAACAGCCAGTCTCGTAACCCAACCTATAAACAGCTTTAGAAATAGCTTAGCAGCCCGGTTAGCAGCTGAAATACCAGCCCACATAACAGCCAGTCTTGCAGCCCAACCTACAGATAGCTTTAGAGACAGCTTAGCAGCTCGATTAGCAGCCGGGATAGCAGCCCATATAATAGCCGGTCTTGCAGCCAGCTTTTAAAATAGCTTAGCAGCCCAATTAATAGATAAGTTAGCAGCCTGCTTAGCAGCCTGCTTAATAGCTTGCTTAGTAGCTGGATTAGTTATTATTTTTAGCTACTGCAATTTACTTATTAAAGAATTCCTTTATTCTAGATTCTAAGTTAAATATATATATCTACAATAGTTTATCTAGATTTCTAGAATATTAAGCTTCTAGGAAAATTGAAGTTATTTATACTAGTAGCTTTTAGATGGAAATTCTAAATTATAATTATATTTATCTTTAAATAAAGAATAGTCTCTTCTAACTACTAAGAGTAGCCTATATTCCTACTTTCTATATAAATATTATCTTCCTTAATATTCTAATTACTAAGAAATATAATTAGAACCTAGCTATAAATGCTATTTTTAAGAAAATAGAAACTTTCTTTTATATAATATAGTTATATTATTAATAAATTGTTAAATTCAATAATATTAAGTAGCCTAGATTAGTATTTTTATTATCTAAGATTTTTAAATTACCTTAAATATAAAAAGTCAAGCTTTAGTATCTTAAACTAGGTTATTTAAATACTTTAGCTCTAGAATATCTTATTAAGTAAATAATAGAAATTATTTTTATCTATTTATTAATTAACTTAATATAAGAAATTATTCTAAATACTTTTAAGAACTTTAAAAATTATACTTAAAAATAATATAACCTACCTATTTATATAATTTATAAAAATAATAATAAAGCTCTAAGATTAGATTATAAAAATTAAGTTAGAAATTGAGAAATTAAAGATAAATTAATAACTTTCTATATATCTACTTAAAATAGCTTTATAAAGTAATTTAAAGGGGTAATAGAAATTAAGATTAGAATAATATATTTATTTATTTAGTATACGCTATTTTACCTTTATCAAGGCCTATAGAACTCCTACTACTTTATCGGATAGGGAAAAACCGTATGCCTAAACATTGGATGAAAACCCTACCCCTTCCTTCTATTTCTACCACTCTATGTACCCATAAGGTCACTGTAGAGCATACAATGCAACTTCGAGTCTGTAACTGGTAACAACACCTCAAGCTATTCCTCGCCATTAACACCTCAACCTTCTAGTCTTCCAACCTTCCTATTTTCTCTGGGTAGAGGGGGGGTTACCTATTTATAAGCGCAGGAATGCGCTGTAGTTAGCCTCTTATAGTGGGTTGGCCAGTCCACTTCCTAAAGGCAAGCTAGGGACCAATTAGCTTGCTACCTTAGGCCCGGTTAGCGAGTCGGATCCTCGGGTTCAATCCCTGTACAGGCTGACTTTTCTGCTAGGGGACGAGGCTAGCAGTCACAGCACAATTACAAGGATTGTGCCCTGGGCTGGATTCGAACCAACAACCTCTTGAAAAAAGGTCCCAAGCTCTTAACCACTGAGCCCCAGGGTTAGAATAATATAACTAAAAGCCTCTCTTCTAGCTAATCTTTAACTCAAACTTAAAAAACAGCTATCTATTTACATAATAAATTATTCTAGTAATCTAGTAACTAAAAGACTTTTTTTAAATAGCTTTATAACTAACTAGAAGCTTATAAATAAGATACAAGCTATAGTAGAAAAATATAGCTAAATCTAATATATTTTAAGGCTTATAAATACCAAGCTTATTTCCTAATTAAAAAAGCTTTATAAAGTATTTAAAAATAATCTCTTAAGATAATAGCTTATATAGAAGTTAGCTATTTAATTAAATACAAATTCAGCAATATATACAGAATCTAAATTTCTAACTATTTTAAGATTTAAAGAGTTAAAGATATAATTTTTAATAAAAGTATTCTTTATAATTTAAAGAATTATTCTAACTCTCTTTAATAGCTAGAGCTATTATAACTTTAGCTTTTTAACTACATTAAATCCAACTCTAAAATTAATTTGCTAGATAATAAAGATATTAGATTAATAATTATAATCTTACTAGATAATTAAAGCCCTAAATAAAATTCTAATTATAACTTTAATTAAAGCTTTAAAAATTCTAATATTTCTAATCTTACTAAGAATCTTAATATTAAAATTATTTAATTTAAAAACTAAGAGACCTCTAACTTTAATAAAAAAGATTCCTATATAACTCTAAGAATAACTAGCTTACTAGCTAGTCTAATAGTTAGTCTAGTAGCTAGTCTAGTAATTAATAGAGATTCTAACCTATAA